AAAGGAAAGGTTTTTACTGTAAGAACAATCAGGATGTGGAATTCTCTGCCTGAAGAAGTGGTTTTATCAGAGTCCATACAGATGTTCAAACGGCTACTAGATGCATACTTGCAAGAACAGAATATTCAAGGATATAATCTTTCAATGTAGGGTAATAACTGCTTGATCCAAGGATAAATCTGACTGCCATTCTGGGGTCAAGAGGGAATTTTTTTCCTAGCTTGTTGCAAAATTGTGCTTCAAACTGGGTTTTTTTGCCTTCTTTTGGATCAACAGCAAAAAACAAATGTGAGGTAGGCTGAACTTGATGGACGCAAGTCTCTTTTCAGCTATGTAACTATGTAACTATGTAAGATGACCACAAGAATTATGTGCTTAATTACATGTTTTAGTATATTTATAATTTTTCAGGAGGGTAAAGGTAAGGATATTCAAAGCTGTGTTAGTTGTATTAAGACTACAAAAACAGGTAATCAAATGTCCCAAACTCTTATTTGGCACTCAGAGTATGAATGTAAGGGATCTGTATCTAAATGTAGATATTTAGATATTGATTACAGTGTGTATCACCCAGCAGTAGGAGAGCCTAAATGTTTTGATCCCCAATTCCAACCCCGTACAATTTGGTTGGTAATTCGGAATAGTAACTCCCAGGGGACATTAATAAATAGGACTGTGATAAGCACCATACATTCCACGGGTATTCTATTATTTGATGCATGTAAGGCAATTTCGGGTAGTGGAAAACCTTGGAATGTATGTGGTAATCTGAAATGGGAACGGACTTATGGGTTTGACAATAAATATTTATGCCCTAGCAAAAGATCTACTGATCCTGACTGCCCAAATAGAGACTTTAACTTCTGCCCCTATTGGTCATGTGTAGGTTGGGCGACCTGGGGAAAGACAGTAGATCAAGATATGATTATCCAAAGGTTGCCCACTACACCGTATTGCAAAACTATGGAGTGTAACCCCGTTCACATGACCATTTCCAATCTGCAGCACTTTATTGACAAGTTCGGAAATTTTATTTGAGTTCCAAATATATGGAACAGGGCTGGATACTGGGGCTATTATATATATATATAGGCATCGAAATGGAGACAGTAGCAACCCAGACTCATCAGATTTTTCACTCCTTCTATGAGGAGATGAGTGTTGGGGATAAAATTCCCCATAATGTTAAGAACCTATTTATTGATTTGGCTGAGAGTATTGCAGGTAGTCTTAATATAACTAACTGCTTTGTATGTGGAGGTACTAATATGGGAGACCAGTGGCCATGGGAGGCAAAGGAAGCATGGTACCCTGGTTCTGAGACAGATGAACAACAGATACTTTCTCAGTCTGATCATCAATTAAGTACCAGAGGTAAATCAGAGTGGCGGTTAAAAACATCTAT